TAGAGTTATTTGGGTTTTTTTTGGTTGAGTTACAGGAGTTTGCTATATATCCTCACTGTTAATCTTTTATCAGATATAGAACTTGCAAATATTTTCTCCCATACTGTGGTTGTACTTTCACTGTCAGTGTGTCCTTTGATGTAAAAATGCTTTTAAATTTGAAGTAACGTTATCAATTTTTATTTTGTTGGCTGTTTTTTTGGTGTCATTATTTTTCAAGTGGAAAAATTATGGCTGTGAGAAGTTAAGTACCTCAATTAAGATCACACTGCTGTTGAGGGCTGGGGCTGGAATTGTGAACCCCGGCGATTTGGCAGCAGATCTGACGACAGTAACCACTCTACCAGTTGCTTCTCTATTGCTTAAAGAGGAATAGCACCTGGCATCCAATACATATTTATGAATTGGTAGAGGAGGATGTTCAATGACTACTCCCTGTTTTAATACACTTGATCTGGGTACACTTTAACCCATATGTGTCTGTTGCTCATCTGTAAAGCAGAAACATCTTAACACCCTTACTAAAGACAAAGGAGAAACAGCTGATCAATTGATTATCAACCCTGCACTCTGCAAGGTACCATGGGAATGGTGCTGATGCACACGGCATGCTCCCCAGTATTTACTGAACCCAAATATTTACTGATTAGAAGGGTAAGACTCAGTTAAGAAAAGGTTTAATGGAAACATATGCATATAAAAGCTACATGAACCTTCCCATTATTGCCAGAAGAATAGAGTGTAGAGAGAGATTATGGTGGGTAAAAGATAAGGAAGTATAAGTAGGGCTGAAATTGAGGGATGTGGGGGGGAGAGAGAATATGGCATGTTCCAGCCACAGTCCAATTAGTATGAATGAGGAGAGTTGGAGAATTGATGTTAAGATGTACTCACTGGAGAGAAGGACAAGTCTGTTGCAAAAGAGTTTGATGACAAGCTAAGGAGTCTGCACTTAGCATATAAGTGGAACTGGTTACCTAGTTGGCAGATCCTAGTGCAAAATGAAAATGCAAGGCTTCTTGTTCAAAAATTAAGAAGTTCAAAACAGTGCAGGGCCCTGAGAGCTAAAGGGAGTTCTGAGTGACTGCCTTGGTCGTACACCAATTGTATTAGCCTTCCATCACTGTTATAATATACCTGAGGTAAACAGCTTATAAGGCAGAAAGGTTTATTTTGCCTCATCAGTTCAGTGACTTCACTCCATGGTGGCTTAACAGTAGCACTTTGGGTCTGTGGCGACACAGTACATCAATGTAGGAGTAAATGGTGGAGGAAGCCAGTTCACCTCATGGCGGCTGAGAAGCAGAAAAAAGAGACAAGAAGAGACCTAGGTTCCACAACCTCTTCAAGAGTGCATCCCCAATAACCTAACTTCCATCCATGAGGCTGCGTACCCTAAAGGTTCCACCCACTCCCAGTCGTGTCATGGGCTGATGGACAAGTTTTTAATACAAGGGCCTTTGGGGGACATTCAAGATCCAAACCATAGCATTCATGGAGATTGCTTGTGTGTAATTGTTACGAATGCATTAAACAGATTGGTTGTGAGTTGCCTCTCTGAGGACAGGAAGTGGAAGACACCTATCAGGAAATCCTTGAACTTAGATCAAAAGGCTGGTGGCTGCGGGACTCGGAAGAAGGCACACGTGTGGTGTGATAAGCTGGATCACTCTGTACGGACTCACAGGGCACACAGCCCATGGCCTACTTCATGCTGCCACCATCTCAGCCTGGACCTTGGAGGACACTGGTACCCTTGACAGAAAGAAGTGTGAAGAAAAGAGCTGGCTTTGAGAGGCTGTGAGGGGCAATCAGCCTTAGTCACGCTGAAGGGGAGACCAAGGCAAACCTCCAAGAAGAAATGTCCAGTTGGCAGTTGAGGAAGAAGAAAAGTCAGACTTGAAAATAGATTTGGAAGATAACGGTGTTGTGTAACTGTTGATACTGTGAGAGTGCATGCTATTTCTTGAGAATTAAGAGGATAGATAAGCCGGGTGCTAGATGAGGATGTTAATGTTTTCTACCACCACTTAAAGGAATTGGGCAATCAGCTGTCATGTTGGATCCAGTAGCGTGGTGGAAGATTTTTCTCGCTGAGAGTTCCACAAAGTGGTTGTGCGGAATAACAAACTTGTTTTGATCTTTCAGTGCTGCAATGTGCCTTTCAAAAAATGGCAGAACGCTGGTAAAAGCAGCATTAACTGTCACAAGGGTCTTGTAGCAGATCCCTACTTTTCCTCACTTTTTAATGATCCATTTATTTTTCAGGCAATTCTTTCAGGAATTTGAAAGTTTAAGCAGGGGTTACATAGAGAACTAACAGGAAATGTCTCATCTTTCCAAGTTTATTGTTGAGAGTGACCAGATGTCATTTGTTTGTGAGTGGGAAATGGGAAGTTAGATCACACAATGTGAAATTTAAGACTCCATTTTTTTAAGGGGGAGTGAAGAAGAGAAATACACAGAGAAGCAACTTTGATTCCTCGGACTGTGTTAACAGAATAAGGGCAGTGCTCTTCAGAAAGACACTAATATGAGAACATGTTTTACGGTCTGCAGGGTTTGCTCTTTGAAAGTCTGTGTGCAAACAGCTGGTCTCTGCCTGGCTGGGCTAGGGTGTTTGCGAGCTCTCTGTGGATCTGCTGAGATTATAAACCCACGAAGGGCCAGGAACGGAGGTCCATGTTCTTATGGGTCATTGTGGCCCAGAATAGAGAATCAGAAAGTAACTTATGAAAAGTCCTTCAGCACTTAGCACTTACCAACGCAATTATATTGATTTTTAAAACAATTATATTTTCAGCCTCTGTGGTTTAAACTCTGGGTCAAATACTTCCAGACTGTTCTGTCTGCCTTACATCTGGCCCCCTGTCCCTTAATTGCCTGCTGACTCTCCCGGAAACACCCTCTTCGGCCCTTGCTGTTGCTACAGTGGGCTTTGGCAGGCTTCCTCTTGGTCAGGTATTGTTCTCAGCCATCTCCATGGCAGCCACGGACAACAAAGATTCTGAGGGGTTTGGAACTGACAGGCCAGAGGTGGGGCCCGCATTCCTGTCTCCAGCCTACAATTTGCTGATCCATTTGTCTTCCTGAGAGAGAAAGAAGTAGCGTACCTCCTTGGAAGTTGACAGGCTCCAGGCCAGAGGAACAGATGAAAACTTGGAATTGGTTATTGGATCACTGGGCCAAACGTGGGACACTCAGCTGAATGAGAGCTTATAGGGCAAAGGGGGATCCAAGAATTACTCCACGGTTCAATATTTCTTGGCTAGTTTTACAAAAGAAGAGGAAAAGAAAGCTCTTACATACCTGTTGGACTTTTAGGGATAAATTCTTACTTGCTCTTCCGTTCACAGTTATTTAGGAGGTTTGCCTTCTTGGAGCCCTGCCCAAGATCCTGAAATCCCCACATTAGTCTCTCCCTGGAGTAAGTTATTAGGACTCCATGTACAAATCTACTGAGCCGAAGAAGCTGGTCTTTGCCGGGCTCACCCACCATGTTAGCTTCCTGGTCATCTCCTGTCATAGTGCCCCAGGGGTGGGAAACACAGTAAGCACATTTTAAAAATTATTATTGTGGTACAACACACATAAAATACAACTTACCCTTTAACCATTTGCAGTGGAGCCTTGACTTATGAACTCAATTTGTTGTAACTCAAGTTGGTTATCAGTCAAGACTATTTTTTCCTATAAGATAATGGAAGCAGCTATAATGTGTTCTGAACCTCCAAAGCACCCCATAACTAACCTTTTCATAATAAAAAAGGGTTGTATAATATGTGTAATTTACCAGAAACACCAATAATTTTTCTAATGTATTCACCAAAAAGTTACAAAATGGGCCTAGTTTACCAGAAACAATTCCACACTGTACTCACCATTCAAGTTGACATCCTTGGCTTGCAGGAAGGGAGGATGCCACAGAAGGTGGTTGCTGTTTGAAAGGAGAGTCCCCTCCCATAAGAACATCAGGAATCCTGCTCGCTGGTGTCCTTTGTCTCCTTAGGAGAGTCTGTAGCCCGCTAGGACCTGCTTCTGGCTCACTAGGTCTCAACCTTTTCAGAACTGAAAACTGGTCTAAGGCTGGGGATTTAGCTCAGCGGCACAGCACCTGCCTGGCAAGTGCAAGGCAGTGAGTTCAATTCCTGGTACCGGAAAACAAAAAACAAAAAACAACCCACCAAAAAAAATGAAAACTGGTCTAAAGTTGTCTGCTTCTGCCTTTTCTTTAACACTGGTCTTTTCTATTGTGATTGCTTTTTTTACGTGGGGCACTGTGACAGGAGATGACCTTTCTTAGCTTCTTTTCTAGCTTTTTGGGGGCCATTTTGATAGCAGTAGTCATAGCGACTATATAAAGCATTGACCAAGCTCATGTCCGCAAACACACGCATCGGAGCCAGAGCGGTACTTGCATACGCTTACATATGCTTTTCTGGCATCTCCAGTCTCTGTTTACAACTGCACAAGTGGCCCGCATGTGGGACATAACTCAAGACTTTGGTCACAAGTGAGACTGAAGTGCGGTCATAACCCAAGCTGCTCATGTGTGAGGCCAGTAGTAACTGGAAGGCCCGCTGTAGAGCGTAGAGTTCAATGCCATTAACTGTGTTTGCAGCCATTGTCACTATTCATTTTCCGAATATTTTCATTTTCCCCGACAGAAACTCTCTGCCCACTAAATAACAGCTGTACACTTATCCCTCCCCCATTCCCTGGTAACCCCTACTCCCCTTTACGTATCTATTCTGGGTGTGAACAGACAGTGCTTTTCAAAATAGCTTCATTATTTTTGTGAAAATAATGCATGCACTTTATACATGCTCACAAATCATAGAAAAGTACAAAGAGAAAAGTAAAAGGAAGCTGAATCGTAACACACCACTGTCAACACTGAATACTATCACCGACATCTTTCTAAGGATATAGGCTTATAGCCATGAGAGGAGCTTAGTCATAAACCTCACAAAATGAAATTACTCAAAAATGTAGGGGTTTTAAGGTAAGACTTTAATTTTTTTGATAAGGTAGTTTAATTTTTCAGGAATTAACAGAAAGATAAATGAAAATATTGCAGAGTTTTAGGTAAGTAATTTCTCACAACAAGAATATTGCCTCTGAAAAAGATCCCTTTTCATTAGGGAAACAATGAAGATGGCGGACTCTCTGGTTTGTTGGGGAAGTTTCTCAGTGCTGGATGCAGAGGTGAAACGCTGCGATGAGCGGTGGTGAAGTTGGAACCCTGACCCCAGGAAAACAGAGGTTGAGGCTTTGGCTTCTTAGTGCTGGGACCTCCTGCCTGGAGCCTCATCGTCAGAGCCAATCCTGATGCTAATGAAGACAGGGAATTTGAGAGGGCTGTGGGAATGGCTCAGTGGCTTGGCTCTTGGCTAGCAAGCGTGGTGTCCTGAGTTCAATTCCTAGTTCTAAAAAAGAAAAGAGAGGGAATTTAAGAGCTTCCTCGGGCCAACCTTTATCAAGCATTATCTTAACTCCATTGCCTTCTCTGTATTAAGGTACTTGATAAAAACCAACCCATGGGGGGCCGGGGGTACAGCTCAGAGGCACAAGTGCCTGCATGGCAAGCACAAGGTCCTGAGTTTGATTCCTGGTACCAAAATAAAAAAACAACCAACCAGTGATCAGTAATATTTTTACATATCATTATTATTATTATTATTACTATTATTTGAGTAAAGAGTGAGGCTCATTAAAAGAAACTCACCCACAGTCCCAAAACTGTAGGGCGCAGAGCGCAGCTAGGCTGACTGCAGAGCTCACACTGCTCCAAAGGCGGAATCATTGGTTCTCCAACTGCAACAAAAGGGGCTCGACTTAAAAAGCCTTTTTTTATGAAGACACGTCCGCAGTGCCCCGTGTCCCCACTGGCATGGAGTCAGCGCACGGACAGAGCACATCCCAGTTCCCTCTTCCCCCACTTTCCCTCCCCTCCTTCCATCTCTTACCCCTTCCCATTTGAGGAAGGTCTATCTCCCTACTTTTTACCACCTGTCTTTTGTTTTGCTCTTTATTTATGTTTTGGGTTTCACACATCAGAGAAACCATGTCATATTTAAGCTGTGTGTCCAGTGTATTTACTTAGCCTTAGGGTCACAAAGTGCATCCACTTTCCTGCAGATGCTCAGGTTTATCTTGCTGAGTTCTCCTAGCAGGGCTCCCTGAAGGCTGCGAGGGCCAGTGCCGTGCAGCCCGCCCTGTGTGTTGGTGCGGTGCGTTCCCGTAGGTTGGCTCGTTTGCTCCTCCTTCACCTGGGCGAGGACTGAAGTGACTCCTTCAGGAGCACAGCTCAGCACCTCTCACTGCAGAAGCACCTCTTTCCGCCCCCTCCCCAGCCCAGCACTCTCTGACTCCAAGGTTGGTAGCAGGCAAATTTAAAAGGCAGGGCTGGGAGCTTCCTTTAAAAACAAATAACTTCTTTTGAATGAATATCTTCTGTTGGATGCACTGAAAAGAGAAACCATATCTACTAGTAAGAAATTGCCATGAACTGAGTTGTTCAAAACAAATTTACAGTCCTGTGCCACTGGGGATACATTCAGAGAAATACATCCTTAGCCAGTTTCAACAGTGCATGAACATCACAGAGTGTGCTTACACAAACTAAGATGCCTACAATGTCACCAGGTGATGATCTTACGGAGCTGCCGTCATCTATGCAGTCCATAATTTATCGAAGCATTGTTGTCCAGCACCTGACCGTAGTCTCTCGTAGCTCTGGAGGGCGGATATCAAATGGGCCTCAGTCCCTCACTCCCTCTGAAGGCTCCTGGCCTTTCCTAACGTCTGGCAGCTCACCGGAAACCTTGATGTTCCTTAGCTTACCGTTGCATCACTCCAATCTTTATCTCTTTCTTCACATCATCCTCTCCTCTTTTCAAAGGACATTTGCCATTGGATTTAGGGACCACCCTCACTTAGGATCCTCTCACCCCTAGATGCTTAATTACAACTGCAAATACCCTTTTCCCGAGAAAGATCATGTTCACTGGTTCTGAGCGGGGCCATTAAACCCTGGGCTTCATGGTGAGTGAGCAGAAGCAGCGCCTTCCTAGGGGGTGGGATCGTCAATGACACTGCGCAGCACGTCACCTGCTGATTAAACTTTTAGTCTGTTCTGACCACGGAGCCATTAGCGACTATGCGAGAGCTGGGTTCCGCCTCCCAGTCAGGTCCAGACGTGACTGCACATGTCCCTACCTTATGCGATTGCATAGAGTTCTCTTTGGGGGCTAAAAATGCACATCCCTACTTTGTTAGTGAGCACCAAAAAAAAAGAAAGAAAGCAAAACAGCAAGGCTCAAACCTCATGAGGCCGTGTCACAAGTCTATATATAACGTTCTCCTGTTGGCCACACAAACACCCCGTGCAGGAGTTTTGCTGAATGTTTTGAACTGTCCCCAAGTGCATAAGGCCTATGGTGGGGTTGGAACATCTGACCAATTATTTCTGGAGCATGAACCAAGTCCTGATCCAGCACATCCATTTGAACCTGCAACCCTTTCTCTGCCTTTGTGTCTTTCACTATGGGACAGTGGTCTGAGGCCTGAGGTCTCCAGCTTCAAAGGAAGTAGACACCAGCGGACAGACTGTGGTTCCATGCTGACCGAGAGAGCCCTGCCCACCAATTCTCTCCCATATGAACCCTTTTCTGAGTAAAAATTCTCCTCTTTCTTTCCTTTCCTCTCTATCTCATTCCAAATTTAGAATCTTGAAATGGATCAGTTTTTGGTACCAAAGAGCTTCCCTAGGAGGAAGAGTCATTCTCATCGTTCTGTCAGACTTGGAGCTCATCCTCCCTTAAGTCCTTCCCTACACACCCAGGCCTCAGCATCCGCGCTTTACTCTGAGATCCCAAAGGCCTAATTGCTGTGCCCCTCATTAGCACTTGGCACGCACCCCATTGCTGATGCCAGAAGAGAGATGATGCCAATTTCTTGCCTCCCTGTATCTGTGTCTGGGACCAGGATGACTCGATGTGGTGTCAGTGCCATTGAAGGACACTGCAAGCCCCTGGCATTCCCGGAAACCCCCATCCCTGGCCCCAAATCAGCAGGAAGATACTCAGTTTCGCAGAAATTGGTAGGTTCATGTGTTGGATTCATTTGAAAATAGTTGCTTTCCACTGATTTTTATTTATCCTGAGAAAACGGTTGTAGATGTTCCTAGTTTGCTTCTGCAAAATGACTTACTGGCATTTTTTATTTTTTCAACCCCATTATTATTTCAAGAAAATGAAGCAAAACATCATATCCAGTGTCTGATCATTTTTATCTGTGACTCATGCTCTAATCAGAGAATCCCTGGTTGATGAGGACAACCAGGCAAGCATTGCTCCTCCATGGCTCCGGCCCCAGGAAATGATTTTCTAGGAAGTGAGGTAGGCAGTTCACCTCCCTCCGCCCAAGCCAGCTGTGGTTATTGTCAAATGCATGACTCAGGGGTAGAGAATGGCTCCTTCACTCCTCCACAGCGGCCCCGGCCAAGAGCTCACACGGGGCCAACTCAGGTTGGGCATTGCCCAGCTGCTTTTGCAAATACAGAGTCTTCCCAATAGGCTTATAGAGAGAGTTCTAGTATTATCTCCATTTGAGAACAAGAGAAGTGCGTCCTGGGAGATTAAGTAACCTGCCTGAGGTCCTGGAGTTGGACCCTGGCTGCCTGGCCTCAGAGCCTGTGTACCGGACCATTGTGCCAGCCTGCCGCGTCCCGGGGTTGATCCTTTAGGCAGGAGGGACGTCTGCCTACGCTGAGTACCACAGGCTACGCTGCTGCCTTTGGGAAGAAAGAGTAGACATCCTAGTAACAGTGCTGGGAAATTTGAACACAGAGAGTAAATTACAGCGCCTTCGATGTGATAAGGAGCCCCGAGGTGAGGATGAAGGCACTGTTTATATCTGTCTTACTGATGAGAAGTGGAGGATTGATGACTAGAGCTGCAGAAGGTCACCGTGTCGGTAGGTGGAGATGTGGTTGGAGTCCAGCTCCCTGTTCCCAAGTGTAGACTTCTCCCACAGCTCTTTCTAGTTGGCAGGAACACGCCTTCATTCACACGCCGAGGAAGCGCCTTCCCAACCTGCTTTGATCACGTGCAGGAAACTCAGTTCCCTTGAGACATCTTTCACATCTGCCCCCCTTGGTCGACATTCCCCACCGCCCCAACTCTGTGAGCGCCAAGCCTGCAGGGTCCTCCATCAGCAGGGCTGCATGTGTACTCCCAGCCCCCCACCTGGACGAGGTGCGCACAGATTATATGTTGACAGAATGGATGGATTTGTTCCTGGTAAATTTCCCCCAGAAAATCCCACTGAAAATGCAAATGCGTTGCCTGGCAGAGAGGCCTGGAATTTGTTTAGTGGTTCTCTCCCAGAGAACAAGGTTTGGAGGGGTAAGAAGGGGTACAGGGAGGGGCGCCCTGGGAGGACAGTGTGCCCTGGGGAATTCAAGCGCAGGACAGGAGCCCGAGCTAGGGCTGAGGAAGAGCCGATTCCTGGTCCCAGGGAGGGGCGGGGATGGGGTGCCTGGCCTCCGGGCAGAGTGAGCTTGGCCCCCTCCACAGTCCCTGAGTGACGCCCCGGGGTTCTCCCGAGGCCTGAGCAAAAGCAGCAGGCGCAGGGTTGCCCCTGAGGGCCCTGGGAACCTGCCCCCCTCGCCCACGCCGCCTCTCCGACCAGGCAGACGTCTGTCTTCCTCTTCAGAGCAGTAAACGGAGGAAGGAAAGGGAGCCCCAGCTCTCAGCCCGCCCGCTCACCCCAAGCTCCCTGAGCAGCCCGTTCCCCCGCGGGCTGGTGCTCTCCCAGACCCTCCGCTAGGCCTCGATGCACACACGCACGTGTCACACACAGGGGCGGGCTCACGCTGCAGGGCTTCTGTGGCTCATCTTGTCCACTGAGATATGCTGGGCATCTCCGCGCCAACTCACATAGACGAGCCGCCACCCTACGGCAATGTCTGCGCTGCATTTCATCCTACCGCGCACCGGACATACTCCAGCCCTTGGCCGGTCTCTCCCTCAGGAACAAGGTAGCTGTTCCCAATTTTTTGCCGTTGTGAATGTCGCCATGACTAGGATTTGCGTGTAGCTTACTTCCATGGAGCAGCTTTGTTTCTTAGAGATTCCATGGATCACTGCGCCTTCTTTCCAGTTTTGTCTTCGGAAGGGAGAGAATGCGAGTGAAGTCTCACGGACTCAGCTTTAGAGCACCAGCTCCAAGCCGCCCTCAGGCCTGCGTCCAGGCATCCAGTGAATCACCCCCACCCCAGGCTCCCAGCCGACATCTCCGACGATGACCACAAGTGAGAATCCTGACCCCACAGCCACCACCCAGGTGGCCTCTGGCCTCCTGTTCCGGGGAACAGAGGCTTCTCTGCATCATTTTCTGTAAGGCCAGAGGAAATCCCCGGAGCAGGCGGGCTCCCTGCTGCCTCCCAAAAGCCACACCCACGGAGATAACCGGATGAGTGTCGTCTTCATCATCACAGTTCGCAGCTCTCAGTGGCCTCCCTGGCTGCCAAAAACCTCTCTGAGCTCATTGCTGCTGCAGCCAGACACAGTACTTCCTAGAAAATCATCATTCCATTTACTGTTTACTCTTGGGGCGGATCACTGTTTCCCATAAGCTCTTGCGGCCATAAGGTAGGTTTTTGGTAAATCATATCAGGTGTCCGCAAGAAGAGGAAAGGATGTTCTGTATTTTACATTCTTGATGTTTAATGTGCCGGAGAAAAGGAAACCATGGTTCTATTTTTAGTTCATGATGAAAAAAAAAAAAAGGACAATTCTAGCTAGGGAAGCCAAGTCATTCTCTTTCTCTCTTTAGAATGTCAGCATACTGACCGGAAGAGGAGAAGGACGTGAGAACTGTTCACCATATACTGGAGGATGCGCATTTCTCACACCTGTCACTGACAGTCCTAAGTAATTTGTGAGCCACTGATAGTTCCTTATCATTTTTTAGTGACTTTTCCGTTGATGTAGCTTCATGCTAATTACCATCTTCTATCATGGGTTTGGTGTGCTAGCTGTATCTTTATTTTATTTTATTTTATTTTTTTTTGGTTTTTCTCCGGTACCGGGAACCGAACTCCCGACCTTGCGCTTGCCAGGCAGGCGCTTTTGCCGCTGAGCTAAATCCCCAGCCCCAAGTTGTATCTTTAAGACACATTAAAATTTAAAATTTTGCCCATTACCTAAAATTCTCTGGAGTCCAGAGCAATGGCTTACCCGGATAAACCCTAACCGCGCTGGATCTCAGACTCAAGCCTTCTCTGGAAGAATTAACTGAGGCTAACCACGTAGACTGCTTACTGTTCAGACAAGGAGACTCTGCCATTTACCTTCACATTTTTAGGCAGGGAGTGTATCACAGATCCAGAAATTCAGGGTGGGAGGAGTAGAAAACTTTTACTTATTTTACGAAAGAGAGCAGCTTAGGGCAAAATGCGTGAGCTTTGGAATCAGGTCTACATACACATTTTAGTGATGTTTACACGGTTCCTCATTTCTAAAAGGGGCACATTAAGAGCCACTTTATAAAGCGGAGCAAAGATTAAATGAGGTAAGAGATACAAAGTACCTGCACGGCAGCCGTCAGGGCCTCCACTGCTTGCATAGCTGTGGTGATCGGCCAGGTGCAGACAGACCCTGACTGGTGGCAGGCTTGACCCACCTGTTCCTGCAGGGTCTTCTACATACTAGAAGTTCCAAGTAATGTCAGACTCCCTAAAGCTTAAGATAAGGACATGGTGCCCAGCTGTGAGGGCCCTAGGAGCCCATGGGGAGGGAGCTGCCTTGGGAGCCTCTTTGGTTACTGGAGACTCTGTGGAACAGGTCTCCCTGATAGGTCCAGGGCTCCTATACCTCATCCAATGAATGACTTAGGGTTAAAAAAAAAAACAAGGTGAATTATCAGGCACCTCCTGGAAAAAGGAAAAGGTGAGGCCCAATGCAAAACCTCTTTAGAACAGGAAAAGGGAACACAGCGTCATGGTGAAGAGTATGGTGCCTAGACCTGTGCCTGGGCTTGAACCCTGCTTCCGCTGCCCCCCAGCACTAAAACGGCAAGTGCAAAGGCCCTGGGATGGAAGTGTGAGTGAGGAGTCCATGGACAGCAAGGAGACTGGCACAGCGCTGTGGACTCAGTGAGGAGAGGGTCAAGTGCCCTGTGTGTGCCCTGTGCACCCAGGAGGGGGCACTCATGAAGTCCGTCAGAGGAAAGGGGTTCCCCAGACCTGGTGAGAGCTGGGCCAGGCGGATGAGACTGGGCAGGGACGGTTCAGGGCTAAGCACCCCTACTAGTACCTTGGGATGAGCAGACACTTGGAGGTCTCCAAGCAAAGGCTGGATGTCATCTGACTTACTCCATTTTTCCTGGGTTTTATGCACTGTAGCACAGAGCTAATGTCTATTTCTCTAGGTGTGAAATAGAAGCTGTGTTACGTAGTTTTCATCCTGTAGTCACAGTGATATCACCCGATTTCTTGTTCCCTAAAGGAAAAGCCAGTCCGACCTTACAGACATGCTAGTCTCAAGTAAGAGGTTCCCCGGAGCAGAGGAGTCTGCCGGGGCAGTCTCTGGGGGTGGGGGTGAAATGTGGCCTTGGAGACCTTGATACCTGACCTAAGCTTGGGTCTTGGCTCTGGCCCTCACCACCCGTGTGATCCTGAGCCAGCGATTTAACCTTGGGATTCTCAATATCTACAGCTGTGTAGTGCTCATCCACAGAACTGCTGAAAACATCAAACAAGACACACCAGCACGCGCCCCAGGCATCGCCCACGCTGATGTGACTGTACTTTAAGCTGTGTGCTGTGTGTTGGCGGACATCTTGGCCCTAATAAGCAAGGTTTCTTCTTTCTTGGTTGTTATAGTTTGTGTCTGGATGTCCCCCCAAAGCCTCATGGAGTCGTGGGGCAGGCTTCCGGAGTTTTCAATTGATTCATGAGGTAATAGATACAAAGTACCTGCATAGCATAATCCAATGTTGGGATTATGGGTGTGAGTGCTATACCCCACCCCCAGAGGCAGGTAGCCTGCATACAATATAAGGGAGGGAAAGAGGCTTCTTGCCACTGCTCCTCCCTTTCTGCTCTTGCCGCTTTTACTGTTTTCTGCTGCCATGAGCCGCCGTGAATGCTGCCCTCTGCCATGAGCCACCCTGCCTTGGAGCCAGCCGAGTATGGACTGAAACCTCCACAAACTGTGAGCTAAATAAACCTTTCCTTCCTTAATTCTGGGTGTCAGGTATTTTGTCCCAGCAATGAAAGAAAAGTAACCACGACACTTGTTTTTTGGGAATAGGGGCAAAAAGAGAATTATGACAATAGACAGCATCTCAGACTCGCAGACCCAGAGGCCCATAGCAATATATAAAATGACCACTCGAGATGTACGTGTGCCTGGTGGGTTATGGCAGATAGTTAAGGGTTCTCTCCAGATGATCAAAATTGAAGTGCAGGGAGCAGAGGCTAAGGAAACAAGGAACACATGGGAAAGCCCACCGGGCACCGAACACCCTGCCCCCAGCCTCTCGGCTGCTCTTTGCCTCCCTCAGCCTCCACGCGGTGTGGGGTCGTCCCTCCCAGCCCGTGGATCCGGCCTGGCGGTGAGGCAAGGGTGAGGGTAAGAGGCTCGCACCAGCTGAGGCCCTGCAGCTTGTAGGAAGTCGGCCCCCCTCGGAAGATGTGCTCAGATGTGGTGCTGAGAAAATAACTCGCTTCCTGCAGAGACTTCAAAGCCCACACCCAGGCTGCTGCTGCTCATTTTTGCAGCTGAAGGAGAAACCGCTGGAAACAAGAGTTTCCCTGATGTCACTGGGATCGCGCCGACTGCGTTCTCCGGAGACACCAGGGAGCTGGCTCAGGAAGGGCTGGGTGGGAAGCGAGGCGGCTTCGGACAAAGGCTCAGTCTGGGCTCTTGTTGAAGGGAGGTAAGGTGGGGCGTGGAGTTGGCTGAACTTCCACCTGCCCTCCATGGCAACGGAAGTTCTAATCCTGAGACCCAGGGCAAGGAGAGCAGAGCTCTAAAGGGTCATGAGCAGGGCAGGTAGGGCCCTGTGAGAACGTCTGAAATCTTCCTTTCGCCTCTCACCCCACCCTTCTCCAAAAGAAGAAATCTTTGTCCTTGTGGACCCAGGTGGGTGATTCTAATTCCTGTTGTGGTGTCATCTTGAGACACCTAGAACACTAAATGGAACCCTTACTGCTTGCTCCTCCAGAGGAACAGCTGGTTCCTCATCAGGACAGGAAAGGTCCAAGATGAGGTCAAGACCTGTGATTGTGCCAGAGTGGGAAAATGTCTGGATCTGGCCCAGGAGCCAGCAAAGAGTCCTACTGGCCAAAGACGGAGAACTTTCTTCTCTTTCAAGACCCTGCCTCACTGCTTAGCCCAGGCTGGCCTCCCAAATGCTCAAAGATGAGGAATTTTTGTTATCTTTTTTTTTTTTTTTTGCGATACCAGGGATCGAACTTAGGAACTTGCACTTGCCAGGCAGGCACTCATGCCACTGAGCTATATCCCCAGCCCCCCAAATGAGGAATTTTTAATCTCAAAAAAGAATAAGAACTTTGATGTGTGGAAAGGTGTCCGTACGGAAGCCCGTGAGTTCACACTGATGAGAAAAGAACCCCTAGTTGGTCATACTCAGAGGTTGCTTGGGTACCGATTTCTCTGAAAACTGACAGAAGAAAGAATAAGCATATGTCCCACCATTCCTGTGTGAGCTGAATTGCAGAGTAACCAGAGAGTGGTGAGACTGGTTCCTCTTTACGTAAGAACTCCCCCTCATAAAGAGGAAAATTAGAAACTTAAGATTTTGCAACCCTCAATAAAATTATGGATTTGGACATGATCATCAATAGATGCTAAAACTGGTGAAATGCTGACAGAGAACTTTGCCTGGCGGAGCCCAGCTGAGAACTGAAAACAGAAGATCTAGTTCTTCTAGACCAGAACTTCAAGAGCAAGGGCCTTTGCTCTGGGTTGTTTTTATATTTTATTTTGAGGTAGGTTCTTGATAAATTACCCAGGCTGGGCTCAAACTTGTGATCCTCCTATGTCAGATTCTCAGAGTGCTGGTAATAAAAGTGTACACCACTATGCCAGGCTGGACAGAGAACTTTAACAAGAAATTTACAGCAACCTTAGCCAGATGCACTGACATGTGCTTCTATCACCAACCACTCAGGAGACTGAGGCAGGAGGATGCTTTGAACCCAAGAGCTCAAGGTCAATCTGAGCAACATATTGAGACTTCCCATCTTTTTTTTTCCCTATCTTTTTGAGACAAAGTCTCACTATGTAGTCCAGACTGGTCTTGAACTCATTTTGTAGCCTAGGCTGGCCTCAAACTTGCAGATATTGTCCTGCCTCAGCTTCCCAAGTGCTAAGATTACAGGGGGGTGCGC